TCTGGGGACCCCCCAGCCATTGGAAGCAAGCCTGAATTCTGACATAGAAATGGGAAAGAACAGACAAAAATTTCCTGTCACTACAGAAGGAGTGACAAGGGAGGGAGGAATGAACTTTTTTAAGGGAAGGCTTTTTGTTTCTTTTGTTTCTTAATAAGTTTGTAGGGAGAGAATGAGTCTGTGAAAAATTTGTGAAATAAAAGATAAAACCCAAAGTATTGCTGCCCCACAGAACTTTCTCTGGTGTCAAAGGTAGTTCATATCTGTAGTGCTCCAAAGAAATCTAACAGAGAATCTTGAAATATGCAGGAAAATGGATGGATCTAGAAGAAACCATTCTGAGCCAGGTGACCCAATCATAAAAACCCAAACATGGTATGCACTCACTCATATGCAGATTTTAGACATAGAATAAGAATTATCAGCCTAAAATCCACACTTCCAAAGAAATTAATAAACATGGAGGTTCCAAAGAGAGACATACATGGTCCCTTGGAGAAGGGGAGAGGTTCAAGATCTTCTGAGCAAATTGGGAGCACCGGAGGGGGGAGGAAGCTAGGAGAATGAGAAGCAGAGAGGAAGAGGAATGCAGAGGACATAAGGGAGCAGAAAATAAGAGTCAGGGGAAGAATACACGATAACAAGAATGGAGATATCATAATAGAGGGAGACATTTTTGGTTTACAGATAATTCAGGCACTAGGGAAATATCTGGAGATCTACAAAGATGACAACAGCTAACTATCTCAGCAACGGAGGAGAGGCTACTTTAAATGCCCTCCCCTGATTATGAGATTGATGACTGACTTATATGCCTTCATCCAGCATTTGGTGGAAGTAGAAGCAGACACCCATAACTAATCACCGATCTGAACTGGAACCCAGATGCAGAGAAGGACCAGTGAAGAGCACAGAGGTCCAGACCAGGCTGGTGAAACACACAGAAACAGCTGACTTGAACATCTGGGAACTCATGCTCCCCAGTCTGATAGCTGGAATACCAGCATGGGACTGATCCAGACCCAAGGAACATGGGTTTCTGTGAGGAAACCTCAGAAATCTATGGGACCTCCTGTAGAAGCCCAGTATTTATCCCTAGCATAGGTGTGGACTTTGGGAGCCCAGTCCATATAAAGGAATACTCCCTGAGCCAAGACACAACGGAGGTGGGCCTAGGCCCTATCCCAAAGGAAACGAAAAACTCTGATGACACCCTATGGAAGGCCTCACCATCCAGGGGTAGCAGAAAAGATATGTGACAGATAAGGTTTAGTTGAGGGGGGGCAGGTAGGGGAGGACGGGTTGGAGAAGGGAAATGGGATTGCTATGTAAAACAAACCTGTTTCTAATTCAAATTTAAAAAGTTGGAAAAAAAAGAAATCTAATAAGTGTACCTGGCTTGTGATTATTTGAAATAGTCCAAGCATAATGAGGGAACTGAATTTTTAACATTTTAGTTTAAATACAGTGCATTCTACTATACTGCCCACTCAAAAGATTGATTAAATTTTGAACTTGGAAGCTCCTCAGCGTATAATCAGAAGTAATGCTTATTTTCCTTCAATTCTTTCTTAGGGAATGAGTATGTTTTGAGATTTGAAAATTTAGGGCTTAGGTGGTATTAAGTATATCTTAAACAAACACAAATAAAAAGTTCAAGTCCCTGCTACTAGAGAAATACTAAAATCACTAAGGCTCTTCATTCCACTCTTGGGCACACACCCAAAAGAAGCACAATCATACAACAAGGACATCTGTTCAACTAGCAGCATTATTTGTAATAGCCAGAACCTGGAAGCAACCTAGATGCCCCTCACTGAAGAATGGATGGAGAAAATGTGGTACATTTACACAAAGGAGGACTACTCAGCAGAAAAACCAGTGGAATCTTGAATTTCACAGGCAAATAAATAGAACTAGACAAAACTATCCTGAGCAAGGTAACCCAGTCAAAAAAGACAAATATGAGCCTTCAACCAATAGCTGATGGAAGCAGAAGGAGACACTCACTGCTAAACACTGAACTGAACTCCTGGAATCCAGTTGCAGAGAGGGAGGAGTGATGGGCAAAGA